TTCAGTTTAAAAAATTATACTCTCATACTATGCAATAATACAAAAGAATTTCTTTCAGTATAATAATTCACGGTGTGTTAATTGTTTTAATTATTACCGAAAAATGTTTACCGATTAAGTGCGCTATTATCAGTTAAGTATGGTTGCTTTCTGTTTTCCACTATTGTACATGTTGATATCTTAGACTATGATGTATTTTGTTGCTGACAATTTTATCACTTGGTAATTACTGTACATTAACATGTTTGTTACATATTCAGAAAATACTCGCACACACACACACACACACACTCTCTCTCTCTCTCTCTCTCTCTCTCTCTCTCTCTCTCTCTCTCTCTCTCTCTCTCTCTCTATTCTTGCATAAATTTTCCCCAGAATCCAAGAACCAGCTCAAGAAATCTTCTTACTTCAAGTATAATAACAATGGTTGCTGATAAAAGTATGGAAAATTTTGCAGAACATCATGAAGAACGAGTATATTCGAAGTAGAGATTATTAAAAACTTTGTGATAACCTACGTTCCCGAGACAATAAAAATAATATTATTGCCATTTAATAATCGATTTCCAGGACATAATGCTCATTATATGTGAAATAAGATTTTGATTAATTTCAATTAAGTACTATTATTAACAATTTTTTTGCTCACATATACTCATGATATACGTATGTTATTTATATAGTAATAAAATAAGAGTATATACAATAAAATATCATTATCCTAATATTTCCTAAGATTTCCTAATTATATATACATAATTCTTAATTGTATATACGTAAGATTAATACATTACATAATATTTTTTTTATAGAAAATTTTAATTTTATCTAATCATCAAGAAAATTTTATAACATTAGAAGAACAAATATTAATATATATATATATACACACCCACATACACACACACACACACACTTTAATATATAATATATTAACTTTTTAATATTAAAATCATTTTCTGTAACATTAACAACGATAAAGTCAGCAAAGCTTCATATTTAAAATTTGTGTCTAAAATTTGTAGAAATATAGTAATAAATTTTTAAATTTTACGAATAAAGTGAACTCTATTTTAATTAGCCTTTCAAAAAGAAGTCTTGAATGCGTTAATAAAAAAAATTTCAATGCATTAATTAAATTAATTACACATATAAGATTATTATGGTGCATTTCAATGTAATATAATGCGTTAGGAAAAAACGGGGCGTTATTCTCTCAGGCGTACAATAATTATATACAGATAATTATATACAGATGAATAGATTAATAACTATTCATTATCGCGCGCGTGTTTTGGGAGTTCATTTCAATGAACTTTCTCCTTTAACACGTAATAAAATAGTTTTAATAGAAATGTTTTTATAACAACACATTGGAAGTACAGTGTAAGTATAATGTAATGTATAGTATGCTATGTGCACTTTAAGTAATAATAATAATAATAGTAATAATGTCCAAAGAATTCTATCAATTGTTGAAAATGACAACAACAAATCGATTTAATGGGGTCTGTTCGATCATTGAAATAATTCCATTTTAAATAGCGGAAATCAAATAATTGCTTGTTCATCAATCGAAGTAAACAGTTCGAAGAACTGTTACTTTATACAAGAAGTATTGAATAATCTTTTAATAATGTTCACTATCTTCATTCAAGTATTACAGAATCAATTCACAAATGATTCTTTTATTATCAATAAAAAAATGGATTGTTGAAAATGATTGTTTTCAAATGTTTATGCTGCTCACATTTTTTGACTTATAATGCAATTCATTCGTTATTCGTACTTGATTTTAAATTTGTTGCGAAATCTTGGTGCGAAGATTACGACCTTACAAGCAGACTATTCAAGCATTTGATTAACAAATTTTTCCGATAAAACTTAACTGCTGAATAAAAAGACCTGATTATAAAACTGGCTTGAAAGCAAACAATATCATTTTCAACAAATACATTTTCAACCGAATGAACTATTGAGCTGGAGTATAATATGAGCTATTAAAATTTCATTTTTTCAAAAAATTTTAGATTTCTAGATTTTTAGATGAAAAGAGAAATTCAATTTCCGGATAGAAATTTTTCATTTTACAATAATTAAAAATTCTTTTTTTTAGAAATCTCCTTGGAAGTTCCATACTATATCTCAAGAACTCTATATATAAAAATATTATTATGAATCGAATCTTAATTAAAACAAAAAAGATTTTTTCTAAAAAAAATCCAAACGAACTTTATATATCTATAAACAAAACTTACTCACGAATAAAATTAATATAAAATAAATTCTTAAAATAAATTAATTAATGTAAAAAATATGTGTAATAAAATAATTATTATGATACATAAGATATTAGATGTTACATAAGATAATGTAACAAAATGAATAAAAATGTTGTAATAAAATATGAGAAAGTTATGTATATCTTAAAGCATCGCAAATAAAAAGTTTGCATTTTGATATGCGATATATCTATCGTGTTTCCTTGATAAAGTATTTTTATCCTCTAGGATTTGTAATTCTGAATGAATGCGCGATCACTGGAGGGTGTCGCGAGAAACAGACATGCAATTTGAAAGCAATTAAACAATTTAGAAAATGAATATGGTTCCAAGTAATCGTATTAATTCATCGTGCTGGGATGAGTTTTGCCACACGGACACGCGACCGTCAACCACGCGTACGCAGTTCGTATATACGCACTATGCGAAAGGCGTATGCACATCGCACATGATCGTACGTAATATAAATAACATTTTCGTTAACTTATAAAAAAATGTTCATCGCAGGAGAAACAACACCAAATTTAAATTATATGTATTTTAATTATATGTACATTTTCTCTTCTTTAACAGCTTTTGAACGATGGATGATGAATGTGTTTTTCAAGAATTACTGCATAGATGTAAATAGATAAGAAAATATTATTCTCAGCTATCTTTAGCCTTTGATAAGTTATATTGTAAACAGTTCAAGTAATAAATTAAATATAAATTATATATTATATACATATTTGTATGATATTGCCCGTTTTTACCAATGTAGATTAACTTTATGTAATCTTAGTTTAGCTTACTGTTTATCTCTTTCTCTAATCCTAAAAATTAGAAAAAGATAAAAAATAAATTAAAATAAAATTAAAGTTAATCTTACATTGGTGAAACCGGGTACATTCCATCTAAAAAGAATTGATGTAATTAGTCCCAGAATAATTAGAATTGATAATTAGTCTTACGATGGTTTTTAAATGCTAATTAGTCGAGATTAGTCGAGACAATTATAACTAAACTGTTTTAGTAATTTACATGTAACAGGATTTTTAAAGACACTACGAGTGATAAAGGAGACAAGTACGTATCAATATGGTAAAACTGTTTTCAGAGTTCTTTTTTTCCCTTCTCCTCTCTTCTATCTCCTTTTATTCATAGATATATATGTATACAATATTATTATAATATTCTTGTACAGTCTCATAAATAATTATCGTGTATAAATAGTTAAATATATTAAATAATGTATAATAATATAATAATTATATTGTTATATCTCTATAACAATATTTTAAAAGAAAAATTTCAAAGAATTAAATATACATAAACACATAAATAAATTTACATTAACATTTGTATAAAAAATATTTTTGCTCGATAATTATAATTTTCCGTAAAAACAATACACAAAAATAATATTCCTTTAGTCCTTTCATAATAATATTCCTTTCATTCTTTATTTCTTTCATTTCTTTAGTCTGATTAAAACTGGTATACAGCACATATGACATTTATAGATACAATGAGAGAATTAGAAAGCAAGTTGATTAATTAAATTGTTCAGATAAAATCGTGTAGCATAGCAGGATAATTAATTACCTCGTGTATTTTCTTCGAATAACGCTGAATCGTTAGTTTCACAATCGTGACAGACCGCTTTTACGAAGTCGTCTCGATGCTCAATGTCGGATTCACCATACGAATCGCGCGTCGACGTAACATCGCGTCAGAAAAACACGTTTCACATAATCTTCACTTACGAAGGTGCCCCGAGAGCACAATCGTCTGCTCTGGTACTTCACGGTCGCTTCTGCGCCAATCTTGAACTAATCGTGACTTCACGATCTTATCGGCATGCAATACTCGACGTTTCACGTCGTTTCCATATCTCCGTTTCTTTGCCGCACGTCCCTCCCAAGTGACGTTCTCCGTCTCAGATTATCAATTTTCACTGTCTTCGCGATCGATGCACCGTCACTTCCGCATCACAATCCATCCAATAGGGCAGAGTAAGACAAGTGCCCTTAAACACGTGTCCTTAAACACGTGATACCTCACAATCTTTACTTGTAACAATCTTGAGAATCTTTTGATGGTATATCTTCAGCGTTTCGATCTAAAGATACAAGCACGCACGTTGCTTCAATTCAGTTTTCTCTCGATATAGCGACTGAGAGTGGATCGTTGTAGCGCGATAATAATAAGCGACTGGTCTCCACCAAGATCTCGGTGAGAGAAAGAGAGAGAGAGACTCGTTTGCGATTCTACGAACGATCCAGTCTCTCGTACACATGCACGCGCGCATGTATACACACACGTACGCACGCATCAACGTAGCCGAAACACACCCGAGTATCCCGATCCGAAGTCAGTCAGATCATGCGTGTACGGCTGACGACCTTCAGCGCTTCGTTGCGTGGCTCAAATATCGAGCGAACGCTCGCGGGATTCTTATCTGCGGCCGCGACTTTTCGTCGGACCGGCGCGACGCGGTCGACGCGGCACTGTACCATCAATGGCAGCAGTGGCAGCAGTAACGATATCTTTTCGTGATTTCTTCCTTTCTTTTTGTTTTTTTTCTTTTCTTTCTTCACTCCCGTCGTGACACCGACCGAGGAAACCGCTGCTCCTGGGATTTCCGCGTCCGTCCTAATCTCAGCATCTATTCTAATCGCCCGCGTATTTCCCGGCGCGCGCACTCGCCAAGGTCGCCGCGCAATCTCTCGTGAGTTTCGCGGGATTCGCGACAAATGGCTCTCTCCCTACCTCGTGTCGTGCCTCTCTCGCGTGCGAACGGTGGTCGCGTGAATCGTCAACACCGATTTCCAAAGATATGCCTGGTCCCGAGCGATACGCGCGCACGACTGCGATCCGAACGAACGCGTGCCGACGACCCGACGCAAGGCAAAGCAACTCGAACGCGTCGCGACGCAACGCTTGTCGCCCTCGTCATCGCTCTTGCACGATCTTCCAGTAGCGTAGCTACGTGCGATCGTAGTACATGCATGGCCTCAGTAGTTTCGGTGTATATTGACATATTGGAATGGAAACGCAACCTCGTTACGAAATGTCACAATAAAAGGTCTACGTATGTATTTTAGGCGTACTATATCACAGCATAATATTAGTGATAAACCATTATCACGCCCAGATTTATTTCTTTATTAAGTTTGTTTGCTATTACTTACGTAATTTTGAACTTATAAATTAGTCAAATGTAATAAATTTCTTTTTAAACAATTAAAATTGCGTTGAACTTTTTATGTGTTAATTGATTTTTACTGCGAATTTTTAATTAATATCGTGGGATATTTCTGTTTACTTAATTATTGCATTACAGCAATTATTTACTATCGTTACGCTTTGTCTTGTCTTTTCCTTTTTTTATATATGATGAATTATATACATTTTTTAATTTAAAAAAAATATTTGCAAGATATATTTCATATAACGTAGTTTATACATAAATTGATGTAATAAAATTATATTACTTAATATGCAAATTGTATTATTAAATTAAATATACAATAATCTCTATAGCTGTTAAAATATTATATTAGGTGTTGGAATTAATTCGTAGCGTTTTACAAGTGATGGGAAGTACTTTCATTAATGTATTTTTTAATGCTCATGTGAAATAAATAACATTCTTTCATTAAAAACGCTACGAATTAATTCCAACACCTAATACATAACTATTATCATCTACTATTATTTACTATCATATAAATTTACTCTTGTTTTGATACATTTTCAGAAATATCTTAACTTTCCCCTTCCTAAACGTCTATCTTGCTTATAAACTAAATGTATTTCATATGAAATAATTTTACGTCACTTTACAATAAAGATCCAGAAATCTGTTGATACTGCAACAGTTAAATGGATAAATAGCTAGATTGTACAAAGGTTGCTTGACATTTAAAAGATTTAAACTCTTTTTAAAAAGCTCTCAAAAGATGCCATGTTCAATGGTTTAAAAACTCAAAGAAAAAGAGAAAATGAGATTGAAACAAAAGGAATTTGTTAAAGTTAATTAAACTACGCTTTTACGTATTACAGACTTAATGAATTTCCATTTGTCGTGCGAACGTGGCATACGGTCATGGATTGGATATACATATGTACCATTGCGCATGCGTTGTCGATGATGTCACCATCATTCGTGTCGCGTTCTCCAGATACACTCGTCTGCATTGTACGTATATTCCATTGTATTTCTCACTAACAACAGTATCGCTAAACGCACACATTTCCTCGAGGTGTACTATGCATCGTAGTAATGTGCATTAATTTCAATGCATACTATAACTGTATTTTTATCTTTGGTTTCTCGCTTTTTATTTTTATTTTTAGCTTTTTGTCTAGTTTCTATGTAGCTAACGAGTATATTTGCTTTCTATTTTAACGATTCCTCACTGCTTATACATAATGTTCACGAATTGCTGGCGGTAACAAAGAATTTACGTTTTTTTATAATAACATCGCTTGCTTTCTGCATGAATAAATCGATAATTTTGCATGCTTGTAATATTAATTCAACGTAAACATTAATTAATCAAATGTTTAAAATTCAACATCAGAAAAGAAATGATAAATATTTTAACTGCATAAAAATGACAGTGTTTGACGTGTAATATTTACTTTTACGCTCAAATTGGAACAGCTGATAAAAAATTAATCTTAATTTAAGATTATTTTAAACGATTTTATACGTAATGTACAAAATATCCACAAAAATATTACATAAAGCATAAATTGCAGTGTGCATTTGAAGGTGCCAAAAGATATCAATGATACCACTATATTCTCACAGACACAAATACACAAGTACTTATATATATATATGTATATATATATATTTACATCGATATCGTTGGAATTAAGAGACGTATTATGAGCAATAATGTTTATACAGATATGGAAAAATGTTGATACGTACAATATGCAATTATAATCAAAAAGCGTTTTACTTGTTCATCTTACAATAAAATGTAATAGAAATAATTGAAAAACAAATCGTCAAGATATTACAAGAGATTTATTTTTTACAAAGGAAGATAGAGTAGACGTGCCCTTAGCTATCAGAAACACAATTCGTTAATCAGTTGATACCAACTAAAAGTAACATGACGTCAATGTTATAATTTCACACTTACCAATGTAACTGTTATATAATACTACGTGTTACATTATATTTACAATATATTTATAATATATTGAGTGCAAAATTATGTAACATTAATGTTATACTTTTAGTCGGTGTCAATTGGATGCTAACATAAAAAATCTAAACTAATGATAATTAGAAAGATTATTGAAGTGCAAGAGTACAACTGCTTAAATTTATTTACTTGTTTTACACGACTGTAGATTTAGGAATTTAGTTTTGTTTTTACGAACAGAGAAATGCCTATCCGTTTTTCCAGATTGGCGGACGATAACGCGTATCTCTCAAGTATTCCCGTTTTTTTTTAGGTGCATTGACCAACATTTTGAGAATTGACACCAGATGCGATGCATCTGCTCTATAATAAATATAAAGAAGAGAGTCCAGTAAACGATGAAACGAAGGAGGATTTTCTGACTCATCGAGTTTATTTCTGCCGACGCTCTCTATTCATCGACACTCATACTATACATATACTAACTAGTCGTCTAGTTAAATCTATTTTTATTTATTTATTTGCGAAATTGTCGAATTTACACCAGTATATCGTTCGTTTGCAGAATTAATCCGATCGTGTCACGAAGTAACCATCATCATTCTCTCTTCCTCTTTTTTTTGTGCTTCCTCTGTTTCTCTTACTGATAATCGCATCATCGCGGAACCTCTTCCGAGGAAGGCCGACCAGTCTGATTTGCGCTTGGAGATGGCCGGTTATGACTCCGTAAGCTAAATTAATCACGTTTTCTCGCTTGGCTCGCCAACGATTATTATCAACCATAAATAAACGTAAATAAATAGCATACTTAAAGGAATCACCAATATCATGGTCTATGATAATGAATAGTAATTTACTCAGAATAACGTTTACAAAAAAAAACGATGCGTATTGATACATATGTTAATTATTGAATAAACTATGCGGAATAATTATATAGAATCATTATCGCACTAATGTAAATTAACAAACATGGTAATTAAAAAATATGGTAAATGGTAAATAAAATATAGTATTTTGAATGAAGAAATATTGCAGATATGATTATTTAAGTTTCTTGATATTAATTTTAAACACATTGTGAATATATTATTGAAATTTATTTGATTTAGCTATATTTTGTAACTAATTTTAAGATAAAATAAATTTTAAATTAAAATAAAAAATAAAATAAAAAATTAATAGTAATTTCTAATCTAAAAATATGTTTAGAAATTTTAAGATCATTCTGTACATTTTTGCAATTAATTAAAATAATAATCGCAAATCTTTAAATTTATTCATGAGTAGTAAAGTAATAGTTAAATTGAAAAAAAATTTAAAAAATCAAAAAATTAAAAAATTAAATTAAAAGTTTCTTCTTGTTTCTTAGCATCTATTATACAACAGGAACATGACATGTTTTGATATTCCCATTTATAAAGATGAGATTAATTGCATATATTAAGTTTAATAATATTTTAAATGGAAAAACCGCTAAAGGAAATTAAATACGGCTATTTTTTTTTAATACTATCGTTTATCAGTTCGTTCGAATCGTCGGACAACATGTCAGACATAGAGCGATTTACAAAACGAAGTACGACCAACAAAGAAGATTGGAAGATATTTATAAGCGGGGAAAGGAAACGGACTGCGGGCTTAAAGCTATCAGTACATATACATTGTACGTTGCATGAAACACGCGATAAGAATACTTTTTGTTGCCAATGAATGAGGTCAGCAAGTAAAACGCTTACGCGCATGAATTGTTGAATTTAAGACATTTAAATAAAATAATGCGTTTCACGCGATCGGAATCACTTTGCAGTTCCCAGTTAAATGTGACTCTCGCGAGATCATTATAATATGATTCGTGCGAAATGTATTTCTGAGTATAACTTGGCTTGTAAATTAAAACTTGGGAGAGAGGGAGGGGGAGAGAGAGAGAGAGAGAGAGAGAATCGGGAAGTCTCTTCCTATAATTATACACAAGATCATAAAAATAGATATCTGATGTAGAGTAAATATTTAAATTTAGTTTATTTTTGTTTTGAAAATTTTATCCGCTCTTATCAAATTTCATTGTTGCTCCTTTTCTGCAGGGCTGATCATTATTATCACTGAACGTACTGTTTTATTCTGTGAACAGTTGTCACGAAAAAAATTATGTGCAGTTATTATAGTTTTATTTATTATTAAAAGTGTCATATAAATTTGCATATAAATAATAAATTACTCTTTAAGTAAACTCATTTTTTTTATATTAGATATTTTAATTTATAATTCATGAATTTATAACAAAATAACATTAAAAACAAAATTAATTGAGCAATGAAAGCGACTTTCAAAAATTAATAATGGGATTTTCAAAATAATAATCGGTCATGGTATCAATAAAAATATAACATCTACAGTAAATATGTTATGTAAATTACTAAAAAATTTTGATCGATTCTACTAATTAGAATTATATAACATATAATAATTCACTATCATGAGTGAAATAGTGATATCATATCATGAGTGAGAAAAAATAACGTGCATAGCACGCATATTATTATGCTCCATTATCTATTTAATAAGCAACATTATAATTAATTGAAATATAGCGTTTAAATTAAATTACTAAGATATTAATTTTGACATTAATTAAAATTAATATAAAATATTGGTATATATTTTGGAGTATTATTTTTTTATTAGTTAAAATTAAAATTTAATTAAATTTGATATAAAAACAGAAATAAGATGAAAAATTTTTAATTTACTCGAAGATCATTTTGTTCTATATGCCACGACTACATCGCGTATGGCATTTGCCAGAAACACAAATGATTATAGAGTGATGATTTGCACAAATCACTTGCTTTAAAATTTATTATTTTGCGCAATGGTTTTATTCTTGCAAGGGAAAGGTGTATCGCATATTATGTGACGTCAATATATACCACTTACTCAGAATCGGGAGACCGCACTAGCAATTTAATCGCATTTGCGGAATAATCAACGAAATGCTCGCAAACCTATCCCATACGCACGCTGCGAAATTTGCAATTACCATATAATTTCCTTGTGAAACATTTATCTTCCACCTGTTATTCTTGTGACGTAGGCAGATTCAGGCCCAATCCGATTGACAGGTTTATGTGCGTCACAGTCTAACTTCATTACTAGATAATTAAATGCTTACGCGAGCAACGCGCGCAAAAGGTGATATTTAAAGAATCCTTTATATAACATTATTTTAAGAAGATTAGTTTAATCTCATTTAAATTTAATAACAAAGCCTCTTAAATCTGTTACATTAGAATTTTATATAAAATTTCACATGTATTTAATCTGTCATCTTACTATTGTTCTCAGTAAATTTATTTTATTAGAATGTATAATTGTACAATGTATAATTTTAAGACATTTAATTTAGAAACAATTTAAAATAAATTGATTTTATCTAAAAATTAAAAAAAATTTATATTATTGAAAACAATATAAATAGACAACAGATAAATTATTAAGAATAGGTAAAAACGTATTATATACCTATTTAAAACGTATATTTTCTTCAATTATCTCTATATTATCTAGAAATAAATAATAATACTAATTATAATCAGTTGTTTTTTGTATACAAATTTGAAACATATAATTAAAATGGCAATTAATAAACATCTTTATTATAGTAAAATAGAATCGTGATTTTAAAAAACAAAATTTTTTACAGATAGTTTTTATCAATAACATTTCTTCATGTGTTTATCTTTAATCTTTAAGTTACTCAACGATTGCGTAATATGCCAGTTTTATTTTTGTTCCAAACATTTACAATTCGTAGAGGACGCATGACATTGCTCTTTGTCTATGTGCTTTTTATATTGTAGAATGTAGAACAAAATAATGCACATTTCAATCAAGTGTTGTAATGTACAAAAAATGTCGCGCGCATCTTCAATAAGGTATCTCATGTATTTCGAATTAATAAAACAGATAAAATGTCAAGCAACAAAAATAAAAAGAATGTTATATTGAAATGCAAAAGAAAAATAACGCTATGTTATGCAAAGTGTAAACAATGTAAATACCATAGCATAAACAATGTAAATCGTAAGATATTAATCTTAAAGCACTGGACATGACAAGTTAGTCATATTGATTTGCTACCTTACAAAAAGTTTTTCTCTTTGATTGTAAATGTTTTGACGAAAATATAAATTAAACACAGGAATGTACACTAAAAAAAGATTACTAAATTTTAATAAATATTAGTTTCAATAGTACTAACGAATATAATATATACTGTAATGAAATATTTACTGTAATGTAAACATATATTTATTTGATTTATAATTATTATTTTAAGTAAATTATATTTATTTACTATAAACAAATATTTTGTTAGTACTATTAAAACAAATATTTATTAAAATTTAGTAATCTTTTTTTAGTGTACAATCCTGTGAGCCACAATAATATAAACTACGGAAATATTCATCTTGATAGTTATAGAAAATAATTATTCACTATTATGAAATATTATTACATCACGACATTTTGCACTTTGCTTTAACAAAATATACAAACTGAGCAATAAAATGATGCAATCGAATCAGATGGATAGTCTGCATGATTTTAATGTTATCTGTTGAATTCATCGTGTAATTGTTCATAAAGTGAATAGGTCATATTGGGTACTAGATTATAAAATCCGCTTATTTTGCATGCTTTGCATTACAATATAAAATTAGGTTATGGTTTAGATATAAATATGTTGTAAGAAACAACTATTTTATTTTATTAATGATTGCGTTGAAGTGCAAGAATGCGCAATGACTCTGACGTCAAGCAAAATAAAGCACAAATGCGGAATTGTTTTTATATTTAGAACTGAATGTTAGATATAGCTTTTACGGAAGCGACGTCATAGAAGAGAAGCAAGCTTAGTAGGAAGTAAACTTTTCAAATTTAATTAATCTTTTCCATTGTTAATGTAGATGTGCTATAATTTTAATTAGAACTGTGTCTGAGTGTCGTAATTGAGATTTATCAAAAATAATATATTATACTCCCCTCTCTCTCTCTCTCTCTCTCTCTCTCTCTCTCTCTCTCTTTCTGTAACTAAAAATTACGTTATCTACAATTCCATAACGTAATTGTACTATCTAATATATTAGAATATTTGATTTATCCACACTTAATCAATCTTCTCCATTTATCTGCTAGTGAAAATCATTATTATTATTCATTAATCATTATTATTTTGCATGTTACTGGTTTATCATTTTAGAATCATTATATTTTTATTTGTCTTATAATTTTCATTTATTTAGAAACATAAATATATGTAAGAAATAATTATTTTTATAACCTTTAAATTCTATTGCCCGAATATCGTATTTAATTTTGGATCATTTTTGGAAATTTTTATTAAGTAACAATACAAATTGACTTTCTAAAAGGCTAAAGCTTGTTAATATAAGTGTTTACAGAAATCGTGTTTCCGCGTTATTTTGCATGGTAATTTTCCTTTTCTTCTATTTTCATGTTATGTAACTCTCATCGTTGCCGTAAAAGCCATTAATAATCGATTTGATGCAATTATAATCGGAAATTTTGCGAATGTCATCTTGCTTTCCTGTAATCTGCCAACTATTTCCGTATTTATCCTTATCGTATCCTTTGGCGTATACATAATATTTCACTGTCATGATACGAAATCGCTTAAGAAGGAAGTTTAATTCCTGTATCCGACGCCATTCATTTCACTCGAAGAGGCTATATCGTAGCGGTTGTGTGAGATGCAGATCGGTACAAAGTTAACGATAAGATTTAAATAAATGATTTCTATTCCGATTAATTTAAGCTATTAACTAATAAAATAATATTTATATTGTGTTAACATAAAAAAAATTTATTTTTTCGTTTGTTTGACGCATACGAAAAATAACTTTATACTGTACAATGAATTACATATAATTAGAAATTTTATTATATTAAGCAATTTTATCAGTAAAAATAATTACAGATTATAAATTAGTCGGAGTTTGATGTTGATTAGGTGTATATTTTAGCAGTAACAATCATAGTAGAAATTTTGTACATCGAATGGATTTGATGTTATTATCACGTATTATTCCGTCTTTTTATCAAGAAACATCGATGTCGGTTACAATCAGTTCTAACAGTCGGAGTAGACCTAGGTGGCGTTTTTCTTTGAATAGTAAAACAGATTTTTGCAATTCTTGAAGCTACTCTGACTTTCCAAAGCATGTAGATAGATTGTAATGTAACCGCAAGTTAAAAATCGAATATAGTTTCGAATATAATATTGCTTTTATATATAAACTAATAACTAAAAAAATTCTCAGAATAGTAGTATATATTGATAGAGAACTATGGCATAAATTGCGTCAAAGACAGATTTTTTTAAGTTAAATTAAATGTGCATACATTCGCGTGCGCAAATAAAATTTCAACTTTTTTCTGAAAAAATTAATATTTAATTTATATTATAATACTAATTTATATTATAATGTAATATATTATAATATATAAATACTTTATACTGAAAGTGCGATCAGAAATGTTATTTGAGATGTTAACACTCGAATTGCAAAAAAGAAGTACAATATAGTATATATTATTTAAAATATTTAATAGTGTTTAATAATGAAATAAAATTGTTACAATTTTTGTGATGAGTCTTAGATAGTTACAATTACCTGTACAACACAGAAGCTTTCAGTAATATTGCTACATTTCCAATATTATTGCAATATTATTAAAATATTGCAGTGTTGCTGAAATTATTGGAATAAGCTGCGTTGTATAGGCAAATTATATAATTATACATAATTAAAATTCAATAAAAAATACTATATATTATTAGATGGTGAACTTATTTAATTCCTGTCGCTCGCTAAAGTTAAAAGATGCCGGTTCCAACGCTTGAGTTTCAACAGTGAAGTCGCATATCTTTTGTAGTTTAGATTTTGCTGAAAGTGATTCAGTCCTCGCAGATTAGATTTATTATTTTATCGACATCAAAGAGATTTTTTAATCGATTAAAAATGAATCGTAATAAGCTGTTTTTCGACAAGTGCTTCTTTATTCCTTTGACTTCAAGAAAACCATAACTGAAACGCATTATCCGAACACTTATTATCCAAAGTGTATGGTGATACAACTCCATCAAAAAAAACATGTAGAGTTTAGTTTGAACACTTCTCTCCGAAACGGTGATTTTAACGTGACAGATAAAGGACGTTCCGGACAGCCGAAAAAAATTTAAAGATGTCGAGCAAAAATTGCTTGATGAAAATCCAGTTCAAAGCTTTTCGAGTTACCGAAAGCGTTAAATGTTACTCCAATGGCTGTCTCAAAACGCTTGCATGCCATGAGAAAAATTCATAAGGAAGAGATATGATTATTACATGAGTTGTCAGAAAATGCCATTTCGAATCGTTTGTCTATCGCGATTTCTTTGCTTGTCAGGTAAAGAAAAAAGAATTTTTGTGGCGTATTGTGACTGACAATAAGAAATGAATTTATTTTGATAATCCCAACATCGAAGAGGAATATTCACGGTCATAAGACCTTACTCTGTATTTGATGGGACCAGGAGAATGGATGTGCTATATTACGAATTCTTCTATCCAAATGAAACCGTTAGCTAATCGCTACCAACAGTAGTTATGCCGATTGAGTAACAAGTTGACGCAAAAAAGACCATCCGTAATCAACAATCAATGTAAAGTCATTTTATTGCGTGATAATACTCGATCGCATGTCGCGAAACAGACATTTCTACAGCTTGAATGGGAAGTCTTCCCGCATCCAGCGTACTCTCTAGATTTGGCACTATCGGATTACCATCTCTTTTGGTCAATGCAACACTTACGGACACACATTTTTCGAGTTACGAAGAAGTAAAAATGAATGGATCACCTCGAAAGATACCGCGTTCTATCGTCATGGGATTGCCCTGTGGCCGAGAAATGGGAAAAAGTAATAGAAAATGGAGGAAATTACTTTGATTAAGATATTCATTCATCTTTTCTTCAAAACAAACAACAATTTTGGAGACGCAAAACCGGCAGAAATTAAGTTTACCATCTATATGAGCTGTTTTAAGAGTTAAAAGCACGTTTAAAGAATTAAAAACAGGTTTTTAATACTAAAATCGCCGAAACCGAGAATTCTGTTAAAACAATCGAAGATGCCAATTTGGCTCCTTGCTCTTAGTTAGTGAAATGTTATTATATGTTATTATATTTATTTTGATATATTATTTGCATTATTTAAAATTTATATATTGCCCAATATATATTTATATCATTTTCCCTCTATGTCCTTAGTTATAATAAAATACAGATAAAAAATAACCCAATCCTCCGACGTCTTTCGAAGGTTAATCAACAAATGATAAATAAATATATACATATATATATATATTAAAATATATTTGTAATATAAAAGAATATATTCTTACTATAAAGTATCCATAGAATGATCATGATAAATAGTGTCTTAGTTATTGTATCGATCCATTCCATTCTGAAACATCAAGATAATATGTTAAATATTATTTTAAACTTGTTTCAGTAATACTTAAGGTTCTAATAAAATATTGAAGTAATCAATCATCCAGATGTAAAGCTGAAAATCTCAAAAATAATTGTTATATAACTGTCTGATTCACTTAGATAAATTAATTGCGTGGCATTTCCACGAGGAATATTGACATGAATTCGTCGAACTTCGGAAATGTAAAAGAGAGGAAAGGTTAAAACAAGCGATTCCCGAGAGTATCAATCACTGATTACGCTAATTATAATCAGTTGACGTAGATTCTCGTCGTATTTTACAAGGAAAATTAATGGAATATTTAATAATAGCTGAGTCAGCAATAGATAGATGATGCTAAGACAATGATAAGAATTTGAATACAGTTTGTATTATCATGTATATTATCACGGCCATTTTGTTTAAACCTTTTGAAAATTATTTCTAAGTGTAATGGCTTGTAATAGCTTCCTTGTTTCGGCATTAGCGAGTAGCTTAAGAGGGGATTCTGGTCTAGAAGCTTGATTTTTAGGCTATTTTTACAAATTTTTTCTGAAAAATTTATAAGGTTTATTCAAATCAGGGTTGTTCTTACATATTTCAAATCATTTTTTTAGAATTTTTTTATTATAATTTTTCAAGAAATAAGCCTTATATAACAGTTTATATAAGATCATGAAAAAAATAAGGTGCTATATGGTGACCATTGCGGCTGTTCTACTCGTTTGAAACAAAAAACTAAAGAGATTTTTAAAGCATATCAGTTTGGCTATCGTTTGACCTATGATAAAAAAAAATATTAGAAAGAAAAAAAATGGCGTCATTTTGAAATTTTTTCGATTTTTTTCGAATTTTTTTCATCTAACGTTAAGTGCCATAAAATAAATAAAAATAAACATTTTGACTTTATTGTAGTTCAGACAAGAACTATATATGCGTTAAAGATGTGCGCAAAATTTGGGCGCGATTAATGTAATAGATTTTGAAAAATCATGGTCACCGTGTTTTTTGCATAATCTTACTGTTACATAAGGCTTATTTCTTGGAAAATTACAATAAAAAAGTTTTAAAAGATACTTGAAATACGTACTAATAGGAACAACTCTAATTTGATCTTACGAATTTTTCAGAAAGAATTCGTGAAAATAGTCTAAAACTCAAGCTTCTAGACCAGAATTCTCTTAAAACAGAAGCCTTGTCTACTTTCAAAAATAACATTTGATATTTTTATTAATCGCTTAGATTATAAATATGAAAACGAGTATGACATGTAAATCCGCAATCCGTGAGTTACGTCTGTATGCAAATATCGGATTGCGTAAATGCAATACAATTACAATACACACACACAAATGTAATCATCAGTGAATATAAATTCTTATATTTAAAAACGTAAAGCACTAATGTATTGATAATGTAATGGTGGCGAGAACATTAAGATGCATAGCAATTTTTGCAGAATTTGTCTCATAATCAACTATATTATTAGAGGAAAGTCCCCTATTATGAGATAGGCGCCTAATATGAGATAACGGCGTTTCTGCTAAACTAATAAACACTTTCTATTGGTTCCACCATGAATTTATTACTCTTGGATTGAAAACTTTAGTAGAAAATTCATTATTAGATCATGTAGTCATTGTAAAACAAGATGTTAGAATTTGGATGTCTTCAAGTTTTATTGAGATGAGTATTTAAATCTTGTTTATTATTTAATAAATAAATATTTGACAATAAATATATCTTCATGTAGATAGAGTAAGATCGTACTAATAGAAAAATATGGAATATGTTGTTTAATTACAGAAGTTAGATTTGATGATAGTAAAACTATAAGGCATGGAAATCGTAATATGAAATACCCAAGGTATTCCTAATATGAAATAACTTATGCTCTTATGTCATAGTAAAAATCGTTGCTAAAGTATAAATGTTATTGTACAATAATAAAAAAGACAACCGGAACGTTGAGTGCCTATAAACGTCGACTGCAATGCTTGATTCCAACTACCAAAAACGAATTCTGAATATAATTTAATCGCATGCTCATTTTTCGCGTACGCTGTTTGTATTTTAGAAATATTAAATAAAGTTTTTTTTAATTACAATACTGATATACTTTGCGTTTTACTAGCGATTTCTTGAGGCATCTCATATTAGGAGTACAATTTTTTGACTTTGCGATTTTGCTCACTTTTTCTTTAATTTAAAAAAAAATAGAATTTAAATTAAATTTTATGTAACGTTATCTTAGCTTATCAAAGCTTATTAAATTCTCATCAAAATGACCTATTATTTCTTTAAATTCTACCTATAGATTTCTAGCATTTATCCAAAATGAACTCGGTATAATAAGGACCTTTTCTCTAATTTTATATGCAATAATTGATATAGCAAAGCTTAAGATAACAAATAATGATGGCTAGAACAGTATTGTGAACTTAAAAAAAGATGAATAATGCAATTGTATAACATATAGGACAAACTATAATTACAAATAAATTGAACAGAGTTTACATAAAATTTTTTTTTATAGAAGAAATGATGTTCAGCAATTTTACAAATGAATAAAATGAAATGAAGTGATCTTTGCCAAAAAGATGATTATATATTTATTTTTTAATTAAAATAAAATAGTATTAAAAAATTAAGATTTAATATTAATATTTGTGATTCTAAGAATAAATGTAATACAAGTAAAATACCTATGTGATTATATATTTATACGCAATAGATACAGTTCACAACCAATTGGAACCAATTGGATACCAAATGAAGTTAAATGCAAATTATTAATTTGTAGTTGATTTCTGCATTGAAAAAAACTCAAATCCAGAATTGTAACGTATTTGCGTTTACTTTAACTTTGCTTTGCTGAAAAAAATCATGTCACAACATGATGAAAATATAATTAAAACATATGAATCAAATAACGGATTGTTCTAAATCAGTACATGATTTTGTTAAATGATAATTTGAAAAATCATATAATATTACAATATAAATTTCATTCATCATGTGATGTTATAGTTATCGAATTTTAAGAAATTGAACGATAGATATACAGGGTGCGTCACCAAAATCCAGACAAATTGAACAATTTCTTTAAACAAAATGTTTTTAATGAAAAATTAAATATTACAATAAATCCTTTTATATGGCACTTGGGGGATTTCTGTAGAGAACAATTATTCAATATATCGCCCATTAGCTTGAATGATGGCCTCATTCTGAAGCGTTCACACGCACGCTGTAATGTAGCGCTGTCCATGCCAACGAATATGCCTGTTTCAATAATAATCCTTAATGACATCACATTGGGATGCCGAGACTTGTTTGTGACCCTTTCATCTACGCTCCATATGTAATAGTCCAAGAGATTTAAATCTGGGAGCTGTTGGGAGGCCAGAATGGGAGCCGAAGCGAGCAACTCGGCTTGTCCTAACAGTCTCAGAGAGCATCTGTCGTATCTTTAATGTACGATTTGTATCGAAGGTCCTCCTCGGCAATTCGACGCATTGTTGGCTCGCTTACACAACAATTGATGCTAATTTTTGCAACGATTGCCTTGGATCATCTGAAATCAGTGCTTGAGCCCTTTCAATGACTGCGGGAGTCCTCGCGGTGCGTTCTATCGAGTGATTCTTCCTCGCTGGCATATTGAAATCTTCGTTGGATTGTTCTAAAGCCGTATATTTTGCCAACGTCATAAACGGTTGAGCTCGGGTATCCAAAGAACCGAATTATTTCTGTTGCTGAACGCCCAGCCTTCGATGATCGCGGCTCTTCAATTATACTCCGCATTTGGTTTCAACATCGCGCCATTTTGAGAATATGACTGTTTACTAGAAGCATCAGGTTTTCTCGGACGCCAACAACAACCTCTAGCGGAGGCACAATATAGCGGAAAATTTAAATTGAAATTTGTCCGAATTTTGATGACGCAATCTATAGAAGAACATATTATCATCATGTGACTTTTCAAAATATGTAATTTTAAAATCACTGATTTGAAACAATCCGTTATGCGATTTACACATTTTAATTACATGATTTCGTCATCCAACTGTGTGTATGACGTCATTTTTTTCAGTAGGATGTTCTTTTATATTTTTATGTCTAAAATTGTTGGTATCAGTTTTATTACAGAGTACCCTGAAAATTTGACATCTGAAGATGTTTGCGCATGTCAAGTGTAACTCGCACTCTTTAAGTATTACACGCAGCTAGCAATATGAGTATAGAGTTAGAGTAGTATAGAGTTATTCGAGCGACATATAAAATATATGTTATACATTTTATGCTTGACCGAACCGAAAATATAATATATAACATACCATTCAGCTTTAATTTTTCCTCAAATCAACTTATTAGCAATATAACATATGTAAGAATTTATATTATTCCTCAGGATTTTTAAAACTTTTGATTTAATTGTTCAAACATTTAAGCACTGCAACTAAACGAAAAGTCTAACAAACAAACAGCTCTTCTGAGTAAAACTAAAATTAACAAGTTTCTAAATGTAGTTCTGTTGACGTTACAATTTAAGAAAGCTTTCGTCGGTTGTTGAGTTATATTTCTACGTTACGACCTAATTTCCAGCTGGCAACACTACGATCGATCAAACAGCGCTGTGTGTACGTAACTTTGCGACACTACGCAGTGCTATCTTTAATTTTCTATCTGCTTATAAATTTTTCTATTGCTTCGAATTATCTCCATTAACAGTTTTACCATTAATTTCAATTTCATCGTAATATAATTTTTTATGCTTTGTGTGCAGTGTATTTAATGTTATGTTAAGAAATGAATGTTATTTAGGTTTACGTGTTCAGTGTAATTGCAATTTTATAAGTACTAATCTTTTACTTGAACTTTCAATCATTTGTAAAGAATGCGTCAGTAACACAAAACATTACTGTGCTTCTTGATTAGTGTCTTGAAGAAAATTTGTGGCAAAAAAACGAACTTGAGAATAATCAAACAATTATTTAGTAAGTACCTATTTTTTATTTTATAATATAAGATATATCTCACCTTTTATAGTGACGTTTGGATGCTTCTATATCATCCGCACATATGCTTTCATTCAAAATATATATTTTTGCACCAATTATTCCGTATCTGTGAATGAAGAATTAATGTAGATAAATAGAATTTTATTACATTATAATTTATAATCAGAGGAAACCGGGGCAAGTTGTTACAATTTTTGATTAGCAATTTTTCCATATCCTAATATATACATTTAAATTAATGAATATAACGCATTGCTTTAAGTACATCTTTACCTAGATAGTCAATTTTTTTCTGATTTGTATCTATAGGTCTATTCGACTTGCTTACACTTTTTATACTCAGCATCTTCGCTTTTCAGCGCGAAATATATATCTATCTCATTTTAAATAATATAAAAAATATAAAAAAGTGTAAACAAGTCGAACAGACCATATATCTTTAAATACTGAAAATTAAAATTTTCTATCAGTAAGTAAATTATAACAACTTATATATATCCCACTGGGCAAATTGTTATAGAGCTGAGGCAAGTTATTACATTTACAATATCACTTGAAATATATATATGTATAAGCAAATTCAAGATTACAATGAAATCAAACACGAAATATTTCACAAGGAGTATTTATTTTATAATATGAAATTTAAAAAATTTTAAAATATATTATTACAACAATTTTTTCTTTAATTAGTTATTAAAGTTAACGTTGAAAAGCCATAAAATTAATATTATACACATTTATTTTTTTCACAGACAGGTGGTCATCTTTAATTTTCTTTACCTCTATAGCATACATTTCTACAACTCTGTTTGTCTTTTTTTTGTAAGATCGCACCATTTCACAGATTTTTATAATTAACTAGATTATTGATATGAAATAGAAAGATATGAAAATAGAAAGAGATGAACCTGATTCCGAGCTATCCTTGTTTTAGTTCACATATACGTATGTATGCGACCTGTCTATAAAGATCGCATAAATTTATGTGAAAACACTAACGTTATTATACCGTGTGACTTATACATTTGAGAATGAATGAACACAAATATGGCGCTACCCAGCGCTGTCTTCAAACATGGAGACAAAGTCGGCAATCTATTTATAGAAGTCTGTGCATCATTTTGTAGAAGGAAAAAAATTGTTTTCAATGGAGTAAAAAAAAGTTGTTACACTATAATAATCTGCCTTGACTGTAAAGTGTAATAACTTGCCCTCACCTTCTATTTTTAATTCCAAAAACTACAAATCGAAAACCAGTATATCGATTCAAACAAAATGTGTTATTATAATCAAATGTATATAAAAGAAATATGCAAAAGGATCATTATATACCTGTAATTTATATGTACAATAACATAAGCGATTTATACAATGAAATATTTACTTTTAATAGTGAAAATAAAAAAAATATACGTAATATCTTCTAGAGTTTAAATATGGCGGCTAAACTAAGTAAAGAATATCACAAGAATCACATATAAAAATTCATAAAAATGTGCTGCCACCTGTGGCACCTAAAAAAACTAATTGTAATAACTTACCCCGTGTAATAACTTGCCCCGATCTCCCTTATATATATAAGTCGTACTCACTTAAAGAATTGCACTACGTCGATAGTTTGGTATGGAAATTCAAATTCTTTTTTATTATCGGCGCTCAAGTTATCCAACATGCTCAACAATTTTTTATTGACAAATTTCCATTGATTCAGTAAAAAATATGACAAAGCGCTGTTAGACACGTACACTTTTCTTTGTAATCTGAGCAAGCTATATATACATACACATATATATATATATATATATATATATATATATATATATATATATATATATATATATATATATATATATATATAT